TCCTTATTTCTAGCTTAAATCCAGCACCTTGTGATAGTCAACCATTCCACATTTCTTTCATTCATTTAACAGACTTTCTTGAACACCTACCATGTGCTTTTACATTTGTCTGCAAAACCATCCAGAAAATGAGAAATTATCTCCATTTGATAAAGAATATTTTAACAGAAAAAATTAAAAAACAAACTCCCTAAGGTCACACACTCAGTAAGTGACAGAGCTGAAATTCAAATCCAGGCCTACCAGATGCTACAGTGAATGCTTTGTTTGATTAGATCCAGAATTAGCTCAGACACTGAGGATCCAGGCTTGGCTTTGGATATGGGTAGAAGACATGATTCAAGGGGTGCTGCTGTGGCAGAAAAGAAAGTACTGCCTCTTGTCCTGGGAAACAACACAAATAAGGCTCTTCTGTTTTGTGGACTTGCCCTTTAAGTCTCAGAAAATAGCCATCATGTCTTTCTCCCACCTCCTCTTAAGTTTTCTATTTTTAGAATAAACACACCCAGTTCTCTCAACTATTTTTTTTCAATGAATTTAATACTCTTTATTGTTTCCCTCTTATGGATATGATTCATTTAATCAATTTTTCTCTCAGAATGTTGCCCTCACATTTTACCATGGATTTCTGGTTGTAGCACAGAATCTGCTGGATCCTCCTTTATTACCAACAGCATGGCTTAAGGCTGTGTCCCCTTACATCTCTCTTCAGAATGAGGGGTTTTGAGTCAAAAACACATACTGGGCTTCCCCCCACCAAGGGAATCTCTTCTTTGGCTCTGCTCCCACGTAGAATACTCTTTTGAGGGAGGGGTCTCTCTGTCTCTTGCTCTCTCTCCCTCTCCCCTTTGCCCACCCCTGCAACAACCTACCCCATTCCCCCCATTTCCCCTGACACCTCCCACTCCTCGTGGCCACAGAAATGCGATACATGGATGGGCTTAGGCCTTGGTCTGAGCAGGGCTGAGAGTGAGGAGAGCTAAGGTTCCCTATAGGCATATTAGATTATATTTTACCTGAAGGAAAGAATAAAAAGGAGGCCAAGAAGTTCCCTTAGAACATGTTACCAGAAGTCTGGTTACTAGATGCAATAAGTTTTATGATGCTTGTTATGTTCATAGAGTGACTTCTCAAGAACGTGTAGCAGTTTACAGAGCCCCCAAAATGATATGAGAATTGAATATGAACAAGCATTAGGGTTTTCTCTTTTACTTTTAACTTAATAATTATGGCACCTTCCCTTATAGTCATTTTAATTGCAATTTAAACATTGTGACAATAAACAGTTTTGTTTTTATAATTTATGTTTTCAGTTAGAAAAAGACAAATGTTTGAATGAAAAAGGAAATATCAATAGTATGTAGTGTTTTGAGGACAAAGAGTTATCATTGGAGAAAAGATATAGATCAAGTAATATTGTTTCCTAACTAAAGTCATGTTTGCCTCGAGGAAAATAAGATTCTAATGATTTTGTTTGTTTTGGAATTCACACAAGGCTCGCAGAGGCTAGAAATAGTTTGCATTCCTGCTAGTTAGAGTGGCAAGAACTCTTAATTCAAAGGGCGTTGGATGGAGACTTCAGAAGGGTCATGCCTTAGGAGTAGGGCTGTATCTGTCTCCAAATAAAGGCTATTTTAGACCCATACGGAAGGCTAAACACAAACCTTGCAGTACTAAACTGATTTGTAAGATACTGAACTTCATGCCAGAACAATGGACAACTATATATAAAGGAAAATAACAAAATTCAGCACCCAGCAACATAAAATTTACATTGTCCATCACCCCATCAAAAATGACGTCATACAAAAAAACAGGAAAATATAATCTATAACCAAAAGAAAATATATCAATATAAATAGATCCATAAATAATAGAGATGATAGAATTAGCAGATATGGACCTTAACGCATCTTTTATACATCTTATAAAATATACTCAAGGATCTAAAGAAAGTCATGAATGTGATGAAAAGTAATGGAAGATATACAAAAGACCAATGGAACAGCTAGAGATAAAATAAATAAAAAATGTTTTAAATACACAGTGTATGGAAAGAACAGCAAGTTAGATACTGAAGAAGAAATGACTCATGAACCTGAAAATGTAGCAATATAAACTCTTGAAAATAAGCGTAGAGAGAAAAAAGACTAAGAAAAAAAGCCTCAGTGAGCTATGGGACATAGTTCAGTGGTGTGTGATACATGTAATTGGTGTTCCAAAGAAACTGACAGAAAAAAATATATGAAGAAATAATCATGGCTGAAAATTTTCCAAATTTGATAAAAAATGTAAACTCAGAGACCAAGAAGCTCAATAAGTCCCAAGAAGCAAAAGTACAAAGAAACCATTCCAAGGCACATTGTAATCAAATTGCTGTAACTCAGTGATAAAGAGAAAAATCTCAAAAGCAATAAAGGATAAAAACACGCACACATGTAGAGGAACAAAAATAAGAACAACCAATAGCTTCATGTCAGAAAACTTGGAAGCCAAGAGGTAATGGATGGCAACTTTAAAGTGCTTAAAAGAAAGAACAATTGGGGAATCTGGGTGTAGGGTATATGGGAGTTGGTAGTATTCTTGCAACATGCTTGTAAGTTTGAAATTATTTCTGAAGAAAATAAAGGCCATCATTCTTCCATGGTTAAATAAATAAATAAAAGAAATGGTTAGCCTAGAGTTTTATACACGGTGAAAATCTCTCTAAAACAAAGATAAAAACTTTTTCATACCAATAAATTCAACCACATAGATGAACAAGTTTCTTGACATCTACCAATGCTCACTTAAAAAGAAATGGATAACCTAACTAATCCTATGTCTAATAAGGAAATAGAATTGATAGCTAAAAGCCTTCACACAAAGACAAGTCCAAGGCCAGATGGCTTCACTGGAGAATTTTCCAGACATTTAAGGAAAACATAATACCAATGTACACAAACTGTTTCAGAAAATGGAAGAGAAGGGAGTACTTCCCAATACATGTTATAAAGGCAGCATTACCTCAATAACAAAACCAAAGACACTATAAGAAAAGCAAAAACAAATGAAGAAAACTACAAATCAGTACACCCTCTATACATAGATGAAAACAGTTTAGCAAACTGAATGTAAATATATACATTTTAAACATGGTTTAAACATTTTAAATATTGATTTTTTAAAAATGTTAAATCAAGGTTACATTTCTGGTGTAAGCCCACTTGGTCACAATTAATTATAATAAATACTTATGATGATTATACATGACCAAGTGAGGTTTATGCTAGGAATGTAACCTTGGTTTAATATTTTTAAAATTCAAACAGTGTAAAATAGAATAAGAAAGAAGAACCATATGATCATCTCAATTGGTGAAGAAAATTTCAACACCAAATCCTGATTTAAAAAAAAAAAAAACCTCTCAGTAAATTAAGAATAGGAAAGAATTTCCTCAACCTGTTAAAGCACATCTATGAAAATACTACAGCAAACATGCGTAATAGTAAAATACTGAATGTTTTGACCCTCATGTCAGGAGCAATGCAAGAACATCTGCTTTCAGCACCTCCATACAGCATGTTATTGGAGGTTTTATTTTCATCATAGTACATATCACTGCTGATGTATCTTGATTTTCACATTCGCTTATTTTTTTTCTCCTCTCAATGGGGCCAGGGACCTTGTCTGTCTTGTTCTTCCTGTATCATTAGCTCCTAGAACAGTGCCTGGCACAAGGTATGTGCTCAATGAATATTTTTCAAATGAATGAACTTTTCAAAAGTATTGTGTAAGTGAGGTACACCTGTGAGACAAAAGCATTTCTATTCCACTTTAATTTCAATTACAATAAACAATATTTTCACCAAAAGTTTTCTTGTCATAATATATTAAAAAATTTAGTCAGCCCCAAAAGAAATTTTTGTAAAAATTTTCATTTCCATATATGAACTCCTTCTCTAAGGAAATGCTGTTGTAGCTTGACTTGGGCTCCTTGATATCTCCTACCAGGTGGTGGGTTTTTTCCAGGATATGTCATGAATTTTTCTGGTAGAATTTTTCCCTTGTGTAAGGGTTGCAGTGTTCTCCCGAAACTCGTGTCCACCCAGAACCTCAGATTATGACCTTATTTTGAAATAGGATCTTTGGAGATGTAATTAGTTAAGATGATCTATAGCAGATTAAGTTGGGCTCTAAGTCCAGTAACTGGTGTCCTTCTAAGAAGAGGAGGGCAGGGAGACACCAGGAAGAAGGCCATGTGGCAGTGGAGGCCGAGATCCGAGTGACGAAGCTGCAAGCCAAGGGTTGCTGGGAGCCAGTAGAAGCCAGGAAGAGGCAAAGAAGGGTTCTCTCCTAAAGCCTCCAGGGGAAGCATGGTCCTGCCAACACCGTGGGTCTAGACTTTAGCCTCCGAAACTGGGAGAGATTAAATTTCTGTTATTTTAAGTCGCCATGTTTGTCGTAATTGGTTATGGCACTCCCAGGAAGCTAACATACCTTGCTCTACCAAATGGTGTTTTTATTACTCTTAAAATATTAATCTAACGCCATATTTGTTTACTTTTCTAAGTACTAGTCTGTTGGAAAACACATACTGGAATCATTTCAGTTTACCATTGCCTTAGTCAATACTCAGCATGGTACCATTGTCAAAGCCCATTGCTCTGCTTGTCTGTTTCGTTTGATTTGTCTTATTTTTCTCAAAAGTAATATACGCTTCCCAAAATTCATTCTTCTTCTTCCGCTTCTCCTTCTCCTCCTCCTTCTTCCTCTTCCTTTTGTTCTTCTTCTTCTTCTTCTTTACTAAGTACAAATGTTTTTAATAGGTGTTTTCTACCTAACTTTCAAACCTTATACATACTCTTTGAGAAAACAGGGAGAAAAACTCACTAACTCATTCAACACATTGACATCAAAACTTAACAATGATGCGATTTTTTATAGTATTTTTCTAAAAATTGTGTTTGGCCTTTCCATTTATATCCATAGGTGATAATTTCTTCTTTTTGTTATTCTAGGTATGCTGCTGCCATGGCTCGGATTGCTAGAGAAAATAAAAAGCCTCACAAAACCAGTTATCCAACTGAAAGAAGTTATCTCTGTACAACTCCGGGTAAACTGAGTTCAATCTATTTGTTTTACTTTGTTTTTAGAAGTGAAATACTAGTCATAATAATAAATTTAAATTTTTATTCAGTTCAAATAAGTTTTAGATATGTGAGGCCTAATCTTGTGTTCCCTTTTTAAAGCTGCTTTAACTCTCTCTAACAAAATAAATTCAGTAAGTTACTTACATAAGAATTGGAACTTTGAAAAAAATAAATCAGTTATACTTTCAAGTTTTGTAGCCTTTGATAGGTGAATACACAATTTGAAAATCTAAGGCTAAGTTTCAAATGTATAAAAGCAGCAAAAATAAGCAAAACACTAAATAAACTGATTCCCAGAACTCATTTTAAATTCAGAGATACATGCAACATGGTTGAAAAGAAAGGAATAATATTAGTTGAGATGTTTCAGGTACTATTTTTAGAATAAAAATTTTTTCAAAGAAACATTTGGTACAGATTGGGGGTAGGTCTTGAGCAGGAAGAGAGAGCTGGTAACTTATGGAAATCAGCTACTATAGAAGGGAGAGCAAAACATTCGGGGTCAGAGAACTTGGGTTTAGATACCACATCTATGTAATTATAGGAGAGTCTCTTAACCTCTGAGCTTCAGTTTCTTCATCCTCAGCTAGTACTGGGTACATGGAAGATGTTCAGTAAATATTTGTTTCTAACATCCTTCCCTATGTCAGAGGATTCTTGTGACTAAATGACTCCATGGAGGTAAAAATTCTTTGTGAACTGGGAAGTCCTCTGAACTATTCGTTGCTGCTTTTGCTGTTGCCTGTCCTTGAAACACAACAACCTACAAACGCCAGACACAGGCAACAACCTTCATTCAGTGATTGTTCAAGGTCCTGCCCCCCATCTCTTTCTTTTCCCCACTCACTATCTACTTCTCTTGCTCCTACTTGTTTTGGTGTGTCATGCAGATTCATCCTCTAAATTACCAGCCTCAGTCTTCTCCATTCAACTGTGCCTTATTCCAGATTCAAGGTACCTGGAAGAATTGGTAAGAAGTGTTGCTTTCTCCAGCCTTACTCTCTGCTTCCTCCATGAATTCTCTACTCCTCTCTGCAGTTCTCTCCTCCAACATCCTCCCACCCCCATCTTCACCAGTGGAAGAGATCATTTCGTTAAGTTGATGATTGCAACAATTTCTGTCCATGCTTTGTCAGACTGCTTTCTATAGCTCAAATCTGCTTATGTTTTAAGCGAATCTAAAATTATTTGTCCTACTTACACCCTAAACACCACACTGACCTAGTAGGTCATGGTTGTTTATTCCCTCCTTCATTTCAAAAAAATTTGAGAGGTGCTCTGTGTTTTCTCATATACCCACCCCCCAGTTCCCAACATCATTCCCTCCTTTTTCTTCCTTTCTAGTACCTACTCATTCTGAGATTCAGCTCAGGTATTACCTTCTCTAGGAACCTTTCCCTGTAAGCCATCATAGCACACTATCATGTCTTATCATGCTCTATTAGTTTTCTATTGCTATGTAATAAATTACCACACACTAAATGGCTTAAAACAGCACACACTTGTTATTTCACAGTTTATATGTGCCCACAGTCAAGGCACGATGTAGCAGGATCCTCTGCTTGGGATCTCATAAGGCTGTGATCAAGGCATCAGCTGGGCTGCATTCTCATCTGGCGGCTGGAACAGGGAAGAATTTGCTTGCTGTAAGCTCACTGAAGTTGCTGACAAAATTCACTTCCTTTTGTCTTTAGGACCGAGGGCCCAGCTTCTTGCTGGCTGTATGCTGGAGGCCTCGCTCTGCTCTTAAGGCTTCCGGCAGTTCATCGCCTTGTGGGCTTTCCCAGCGTAGCCTCCTACTTCAGCCAGCCAGCAGAGAAATTCTTTAGAACAAGTATGATAGTAAGGTAGAAACTTATATAACATAATCATGAGAGTGAGGTTCCATTACCTTTGTCATATTCGATTGATTAGAAGCAAGTAGCAAGTCCTACCCATACTCAAAAGGGAGGAGATTACACAAAGGTGTGAACAGCAGAATGTGGGGATCACGACAGGGCAGCTTAGAGTCTGTCCACCACACGTGCTATGTTATAGTGGTCTCTTTACTGCCAGTCTCCTTTAAAAGAACGTGACCTCCTTGAGAGAAGGGGCTGCTTACCTCTCAGCATGGTGCCTGGCATATAGTAGTCATTCAATGCTCATGAACAAATGAGTGAATGATAGGATGGGGTAGAGTTGTCACTGTTTCAGCAACCCTGTGATTTTGGAAAAAGGGGGGATAAACTCATGATAAATGAGAAAAAGTAAGAAAAGTGAGCTGGAAGAGAACATTTTAAGGAATGTCCAGAAACTCATTTGATTTCTAGTTCTGAGTCATGTCCTCTTTGAAATTGGAATAGACTCTCCTTTGTGTCTAATCTTACTGCTGAGAGAAGAGACTGTACCTAAGAGGTTGTGGCCAATTAGATTAGTGTTCAGAAATATTCACTCCCTATCCTGTTCCACCACCGTGGGCAAAATGTACTCCCTTGACCCTTGACTTTGAGCTTTGCCATGTGACTGTTTTGACCTGTGGAATATTAGTGGGTATGATGTGCTCAGGGTTTGGGAAGGGTTTGTGCAATTTGGCTTGCTCTTTTTCACTCCTGCCATCATCACAAGAACATGCCTGGACTAGCCCTCTGGTCACCAAGCTTCCCAGCCAAGCTTCCCAGCCATCCGCAACCCACAGAAGCTTACCCACAGCTGACCTGCAGATGCGTGACCTAAACAAATGCTTGCTGTCCTATGTCACTGAGATCTTGTGATTGTTTATTATATAGCAAGAGTGAACTTGTACAGGATACCAAAGGAAAATATGACTCAGCTGGAAAAGGAATGAACTCTGTGCTTCCCTTTTGCAGAGAGGGTTAGCATGTCATAGTTTGCCAATGTGAAAAAATTCATCTGAGATTTTGGAGGTGGGAGTGGAGAAAAGGCCGTCATTCTTGAGAAGTGTGTATCATACATGGCAGCTTCCTCAGACACAAAAGTTTCATGCAACTCTTCACAAACTCTCACTTTACAGATGTGATGGCTTCACAGAAATCTCCATGAGCTCACAATGTTTGTCCCACTTGGGATGGTTAGATGTGTGCAGCATCTTGTGCTGGTTTCCCCACTCATAGTGCATCAGGCTAACATAGGCAGTGATATTCCTCTGGTTCTCCAGCTATGGCCTTCCAGACCTCACTGCTCCAGGTCTTCCCACACGTGTATAGTCCTTGTTTCATATATTGAACCTCTCACTCTTGTATTACTTGTAAGGGCTCTGTTTTTCTTTTTCTTTTTTTTTTTATCACATCTTTATTGGAGTATAAATGCCTTAAAATGCTGTGTTAGTTTCTACTGTACAACAAAGTGAATCCGCTATATGTATACATATATTCCCATATCCCCTCCCCCCCCCCCCCCCCTATCCCATCCCTGTAGGTCATCACAAAGCACCGAGCTGATCTCCCTGTGCTATGCAGCAGCTTCCCACTAGCCATCCATTTTACATTTGGTAGTGTATACACATCAATGCTACTTTCTCACTTCATCCCAGCTTCCCCTTCCCCACTATGCCTTCAAATCCGTTCTCTACGTCTGTGTCTTTATTCTTACCCCACCACTAGGATCATCAGTACCGCTTTTAAAAATTCCATATATATGCATTAGCATATAGTATTTGTTTTTCTCTTTCTGACTTACTTCACTCTGTGTGACAGATTCTAGGTCCATCCACCTCACTACAAATAACTCAATTTCGTTCCTTTTTATGGCTGAGTAATATTCCCTTGTATACATGTGCCACATCTTCTTTATCCATTTCATCTGTTGATGGACACTTAGGTTGCTCATCTCCTGGCTATTGTAAATAGACCTGCAATGAACATTTTGGTACATGACTCTTTTTGAATTATGGTTTTCTCAGGATATATTCCCAGTAGTGGGATTGCTGGATCATATGGTAGTTCTATTTTTAGTTTTTTAAGGAACCTCCATACTGTTCTCCATAGTGGCTGTATCAATTTACATTCCCACCAACAGTGCAGGAGGGTTCCCTTTTCTCCACACCTTCTCCAGCATTTATTGTTTGTAGATTTTTTGATGATGGCCATTCTGATCAGTGTGAGGTGATACCTCATTGTGGTTCTGATTTGCATTTCTCTAATAAATAGTGATGTTGAGCATCTTTTCATGCATTTGTTGGCCATCTGTATATCTTCTTTGGAGAAATGTCTATTTAGGTCTTCTGCCCATTTTTGGTTAGGGTTGTTTGTTTTTGTGATATTGAGATGCATGAGCTGCTTGTATATTTTGGAGATTAATCCTTTGTCCATTGCTTCGTTTGCAAATATTTTCTCCCATTCCTTTCATCTTGTTTATGGTTTCCTTTGCTGTGCAAAAGCTTTTAAGTTTCATTAGGTCCCATTTGTTTATTTTTGTTTTTATTTCCCTTACTCTAGGAGGTGGGTCAAAAAGGATCTTGCTGTGATTTATGTCATAGAGTGTCCTGATTATGATTTCCTCTAAGAGTTCTATAGTGTCTGGCCTTACATTTAGGTTTTTAATCCATTTTAAGTTTATTTTTATGTATGGTGTTAGAGTGTGTTCTAATTTCATTCTTTTACATGTAGCTGTCCAGTTTTTCCCACACCACTTATTGAAAAGACTGTCTTTCTCCATTGTATATCCTTGCCTCCTTTGTCATACATTAGTTGACCATAGGTGCGTGAGTTTACCTCTGGGCTTTCTATCCTGTTCCATTGATCTATATTTCTATTGTTGTGCCAGTACCATACTGTAGCTTTGTAGTATAGTCTGAAGTCAGGGAGTCTGATTCCTCCAGGTCCAATTTTCTTTCTCAAGATTGCTTTGGCTATTTGGGATCTTTTGTGTTTCCATACAAATTGTAAAATTTATTGTTCTAGTTCTGTGAAAAATTCCATTGGTAATTTGATAGGGATTGCATTGAACCTGTAGACTGCTTTGGGTA